ATTTTTTATAGAATATTTTTTTATTTTTTACATTTTTAATGTAAGAAAAGATGGTTTCTTTTTTACATTAATAATTTTTTATTATTTTAATATCAACAAGAAATTTTTACGTAATTCCTAATAAATTAATTACAAAATAATTTAATAATAATAAATAATATTAAAATAATAAAAAATTATTGATATAAAAAAGAAATAATCTTTTCTTACATCAAAAATGTAAAAAATAAAAAAATATTCTATAAAAAATGTGAAATAATATTAAGCCGGGAAGATAGTTATGCAGCGCAACACACGCATAAGGTGATGAATATTTTATTTAAACAATTGTTGCAAATAACTGGAATACATTTTTTTAAAAGTAGAATTGTATAAACATTTGTGTAAAAAAAAACTAACACTTTATCTTTATTTTTATAAATGATATTCATTTGTTAATTAATTTTTTTAAATATTTATTTAAAAAACGTCAATTTGTCCAAAATATTTCATATTGGACTCTTTGGATGCGGATTTTGTAGTGCTTTACAGTAGTAACTTCAGAATTGCGTTAACTTTATTTTGTTGCAATATATTTCAATTTTTATTAATTTTTAATAATTAATTAATTAATTATTCGAAAACAAAAAAAAACGTCATTTTTTTCGTTTTAGTTATTGAAAGTACACATCTTAAGCTTTCTTTTGGTACAAAAAAAAAGAAAAAAAAAGGGTCCTTCTTGAAAAAAAAATCAAAAAAATTTTAAATTTTAAAAAAAAGGGTTAAATTTTGAAAATTTAAAAAAAAAATTTTCACCATTTGAAAGAGCGGGAAAAAACCTACCAAAAACATATAGGTCAAAATTTTTTTTGTTTTATTATATAGAAGCTACGATTTTTTAGAAAACTCACTGTTCATACTTATCCAAAATCTTCAACCCCCTCCCCCCTCTACAATTTGTTATAAAATTTCATAATACTTGGTGGTTGAAGTACTCATACATAGTACTAAATACTGTGAAAATATTAGCCCGATACAACAACTTGCAATTTTGACATTGGTACACTTGAGAAATTTTGCCCCATATATATATATATATGGGTCAAAATAAGTGAAACCGGCCACTTGAAAAATTTTTATCTCCAATTTTCAAGTTATCTATGATTTTTAGTAGATATATGAGTACACTTTTTCCCCCTCCCAATGGGAAGTAAACGATTGGTTCAATAATGGGCCATGCTTGGCGAACTCCGTTCCATTATTGGAACATTAATGGCAACCATCATTGGACCACCAATGGTTTAAACTTGGGATGATCACGCTACTGCCAATGATCGGTAGCCAAGCATCGGGCCAATATTAGTTGCCAAGGAATTGCCAAGGAAACAAAATCGATTTTCAAAAGCTTGATTTTTTATTAGCAGCCAACAAAAAACCAAGGTTTTGAAAATTTATTTTTTTAAATTATTAATTAAAATTTATTTTTAAAAAATATATTTTTCAAAAATTTATTTTAAAAAAATATATTTTTCAAAAATATATATTTTTTTAAATTAATAGAACATATTAATTTAATTTTTCACCTCTGGTAAAACAAAGGTGAAAGACTGATAAAAATTCCCTCACCGTATCTCACAGTGGAGGGATAACTGTGAATGTCTTTGCGAGAGAGGAGCAGGTACTTATAGAGCCAGTGAAACAGGTCACAAGCGAGAAGAAATCACTAGCATGCACTCTGGCGGCGCTTGTCGGAACTGTTTTCTGGCGCGCATGCATATCCTGACATTATCGACACAGCGCTTGGCAACCAACGTTGCGCCACTTCCGACAAGCGCCGCCAGAGTGCATGCTAGTGATTTCTTCTCGCTTGTGACCTGTTTCACTGGCTCTATATAAGTACCTGCTCCTCTCTCGCAAAGACATTCACAGTTATCCCTCCACTGTAAAATATAAAGTGAGGGAATTTATCAGTCTTTCATCTTTGTTTTACCAGAGGTGACAAATTAAATTAATATGTTCTATTAATTTAAAAAAATATATATTTTTAAAAAATATATTTTTTTTAAATAAATTTTTGAAAAATATATTTTTTAAAAATAAATTTTAATTAATAATTAAAAAAAATCAATTTTCAAAACCTTGGTTTTTTGTTGGCTGCCAATAAAAAATCAAGCTTTTGAAAATCGATTTTGTTTCCTTGGCAATTCCTTGGCAACTAATATTGGCCCGATGCTTGGCTACCGATCATTGGCAGTAGCGTGATCATCCCAAGTTTAAACCATTGGTGGTCCAATGATGGTTGCCAATTGTTTTGCCAAGAAAAAACCATTGGGTACCAAGCATGGCCCATTATTGAACCAATCGTTAACATTGGCAACTTCCCGTTAGGCTAAAATATTTTTCAAAAAAAAAATTTATTTTTGAAGTAATTAGGTATTGAAGTTTTAGGTCATTTTATTTTCTTTTTATTATTACTTTGAAACAAATAAAGATAATTAAGTAATTTTTTTTTTTTTTAAAGCTTAAAGTCTATACTTTAAAGATGAAATAAAGCGATTGCTAAAAAATGAAAATTTATAATTGTTATTAACAATTCTTTTAAACAATTGCAAATTGAAGAATGTTCTCAATGTTTTTGAAAGATTAAATTACGATATATTCCCAGGTGCGAATTTAGGTTGGCCGCCAGAGTTTGAAGGTTGGCCCAAGGTTGGCCTAACTTTGGCAAGCAAAGTTTTGGTTGCCAGAGTTTGCCCAACTTTGGCAAGTACTTGTGCCCACAGTTGGCCCGACTTTGCAAGCCAACCATTAAATGCAGAGTTTAACCAACCGTCGGGCCAACTTTGGCGACAAAGGTTGGCACAACTTATCCAAACGTAGTTTAAAAGACTTTCAGTTTCGGTTGGCCGAACTCTGGGCCACGGTTGGCCCAACGGTTGGCAAAACTATGTGAAACACAGTTTAATTGACTTACATTATTTTGGTTGGCCGAACTCTGGGCCACGGTTGGCCCGACGGTTGGCAAAACTATGTGAAACGCAGTTTAATTGACTTAAACTTTCTTGGTTGGCCGAACTCTGGGCCACGGTTGGCCCAACGGTTGGCAAAACTCTGTGAAACGCAGTTTAATTGACTTGATTTTTCTTGGTTGGCCGAACTCTGGGCAACGGTTGGCCCAACGGTTGGCAAAACTCTAGAAACGCAGTTTAAATGACTTAAACTTTCTTGGTCGGCCGAACTTTGGGCCACGGTTGGCCCGACGGTGGGCAAAACTTTGTGAAACGCAGTTTAATTGACTTGATTTTTCTTGGTTGGCCGAACTCTGGGCCACGGTTGGCCCAACGGTTGGCAAAACTCTAGAAACGCAGTTTAAATGACTTAAACTTTCTTGGTCGGCCGAACTTTGGGCCACGGTTGGCCCGACGGTGGGCAAAACTTTGTGAAACGCAGTTTAATTGACTTGATTTTTCTTGGTTGGCCGAACTCTGGGCCACGGTTGGCCCAACGGTTGGCAAAACTTTGTCAAATGCGGTTTAAATGACTTAAACTTTCTTGGTTGGCCGAACTCTGGGCCACGGTTGGCCCGACTGTTGCAGCTTTAATATACATTTTGCGTTATGCACTCCCATGTGAGCGTAGCGTAGTGGTCAGTGTATAAGTCTTCGGTGCGTTAGGTTAGGGGTTCGATCCCAGCGAGCGATAGATATTTTCGAAAATGTATGTATGAGATTGTGTGTAATAATAATAGGTAAAGGTTATATCTGATGTTCCCGCTAATAATAACCTGTTAATTGTTTAAATAATTTAGTTTTTTAATAATTTTTTACCTTTGGCTGTTGAAGTTGGCCAAACTTTGAAAATTGTGGTTGGCCCAACTTACGCATCTAAAGTTGTGCCAACTTTGGCGTCAGTCTTTGGACCAACCATTGAAATGTATAGTTGGCACAACATATGCATTGTAAGTTGGGCCAACTTCCTTATGAGTTGTCGGGCCAACCATCGTCGCCATTAGACGGTTGCCGTTATCATCTGTATGGTTGGCCCAACCTCTGGCACGAGAAGTTGGACCGACTTTGTAAAAGTTGGCCCAACTATGGGCCGACCAAAAAATCGCACCTGGGTTAATGCGCAAAACTATAAGGATTCATTTAAAAAAAAGAAAAATGAGTAACCTCCAATATTATAGAAATTGTGTAGATTTTTCTGCCAAAATGCAGGCCAAAATCGATTTTTAATCTTAAAAATCCGCTTGAAAGCGTGAAGTTTCTAACAAAACAAAATGTGTTAAATGAGTTTTAAAATATTTTCAAAAATCACTTGCAAGCATCACAGTGGGATTTTTTTTACATTTAACTTTTTAAAACTGTTTACAGCGTAGACCCTTTTATTTAAAACAAAGAACACTTGAATATATTAAAAATTATACGCTGTAGACAGTTTTAGAAAGTTAATTGTAAAAAAATCCCACTGTGATGCTTGCAATTGATTTTTGAAAATATTTTAAAACTCATTTAACACATCAGGCCCATTTCGGGACTTTTTGGAAAATCTTCTCTATATTATAAGGTACAAAAAAATAAAAAAAAAATAAAAAAAAATTCAGCCCAAAGTTAAAAAAAATTAATTTGTTTATAAAAAAAAATTTTTTTCAATAAAAAATTTAAAAAAAAATTTTTTGTTTACATTTCTTAAAAGTCGAAAGAAAACTAAAACTTTCATTCTTTGACAACTTTTTCCTAAACTCAATATTTTCGGACTTATAAGCTACTGAATATAGGTCTACAATTAAAAGTCCAAATTTTCGAAAATTCATAACTCGAAAATTTGGACAATTAAACATAAATAAAAAAATACGTATCTGTTTTTTTTTCGATACAAAATAGAAAAAAAATATTTTTGACCGATTTTAAGAGGTTGACTTAAATCTCACGTGGAATTGCCCATACATATGAGAGAGAGAGAGAGAGAGTTTTATTGAATATGCAAAATGATGAAAAAATTTCAAATTACAAATTACTCACCGTATAAGCAGTTGTGCTAATGGGTTGTGATACTCGGCCATGTTTCTTTTCTTGAGCAGAAGAACTATCTTTGCTATCATTATCGGAATCTGAAAAAAATATATTAAAAATTATTTGACAAAGTTAGTAAAAAATTTGTACAAATGTGGGAATTTGTGATGTCCAAGGTTGCTTTTGATATTGATTTTGAAAAAAAAAATTATTTTCAATGGAAACTGTAGACCTTTCTATTATGCCACAAAACGTAAACCGCTTTCAAAAAATATTTTTTGCAAAAAATAAGCATTCAAGTGCTATACATTCTCAGTATCTTGGCATGTCCCAATGTGAAAATAAATGTTTATTAACCTAAATAAATATTGTTTAAATGCAAATTTACACTTGGATAACAATTTTAAGTACAGTTGTAGTTTACAAAGATTTAAATAATTGTTACATTACTTTATATGTTACCTGGTCTATGAAAAGGGACCTTACGTGTCAAAAAATCATTTTTTACTTTTTTGTTGATTCGGATGGAGTTTGAAACGGTCTTTAAGATGGTGAAAACCAAAAAGTCATAAGTAAGTTGATTAGAAGTTTCTTAAAATTTTTTTTAAAGTCAAAAGAAACAAGAGTAGAAATACGAAAAAACTGATTTTTTTGTTATTATACAAATTAAAATAACGAAGACGATAATTTTTTATTATTTAGAAAATTTGACAGTTTTTTTGACAACTGTCAACAGTTAAAATTCAAATTTGATATCATATTCGTAATCAGCGACCTCAAAAACCTTAATACTGTCTTTTTTTATAAAAAACGATCACTTTTTAGAGAAGTTGACAGCTGTCAACTGTCAAATTGTCAATTTAACATTATATTCGTAATTAGCGGCCACGAAAACCCTTACAAACATGTGTCACTTATTTATACTTTTTGTTGCTATTTAGAAAACTTAGATTATTTTTTATGTGTTTGGGGAGTTTGTTATTAATTTATATAAACAATTATTTAAAAATTTTTTTCATTACTTGTATGTTTATTATTTTGATACTGTGATCCACGGTGAAGAAAATAAGCCTAACTCGATTAAAAAATATTAATATTTTAAAAAAAGTTATAAGAGTTTTTCTAAGTTAAACTTGAACTGCTGTTTTCTCGAAAACTTGTTTTCGCACGTAAAGTCCCTTTTCATAGACCAGGTCACATATTTTATTTAAAACTACATAAACTATATTTGTAAAGAGACACTTGTATAGCCAGGTTATGTAGGCTAAAGACGGGTGTATAAACAAATAAATAATAAAAATAATAATATTTTATTTAAAAACTATTATCTTGAATGCTGTTCCTCTAATTCATTCTTAGTTTTCCTGGCATCATAAAAACGTTAAAATTGTTAAGAATTTTCATTCCAACTAACTCACCATTTTAACAGTGCTTAATAAAAGCAAACTAAATATGATATCACATGCATTGTACTTAAGGGGACATTCCAGTTCAAAATGTCAAAAAAATCGGTCTTTTTTGTTTTTAATTTCGGATTTCTTATAGTGTCAAGAATACTCTCCTAAAATATTATTGCAAAATTCGAAGTAAAACAAAAGTTATACATCCTTATTCTTCGCCATGTCAAAGATGTTTTTGTATGCGGATAAGCAATCGAATAATTTAAATGTTTTCTCATTTGCATTTTTTAAAAAAGACAAACAAAAATGTATTTGGTGTTGCTGATCACAAATTAGATATCAAATTTTCAAAATTCAAAATGGTGGATCCAATATGGCGGAAAAGAAAATTTTTTTATTTTTATTTTTTTTCGTTTAATTTTTTTTTCGTCCACCATATTGCATCCGCCATTTTTAAATTTGAAAAAATGATGTCATATTCGTAATCAGCGACCTTAAACTTCCCCCGTAACGATTTTCAAGCAAATCCAATGATTTAAAAAAAAAATGTCCGGCATATTGGATCCGACATTTTGAATTTTAAAAATCTGATTCCATATTCGTAATTAGCGACCTCAAAAACCCCCGAGTAACGATTTTCAAGCAAATCCGATGATTTTAAAAAAAAAAATTTCGAAACTTATGAACAAAAACTTTAAATGCGTTTTTCTCAAAATGTCTTTTTTTGATCTGGTAAGAGTGATATCTCGAGTTCTTCTGAAGCGATTTTAAAAATCAAACGGCTTTTGATTCAGCGTCATCATGCCTATAAGTGGAACCTCAAAAACTGGAAAATTTCCAACTCCGTCTTTTCTTAAGAGAAATTCTGAATAAAAACACCTTTTTTTTGCATATTTTGGGGACAAGGACTCTAAAAAAAAGGGGGAAGAAAATTCCACTTTTTTGAGGTTCCACACCTAAAGAAATATCTAACGAAGAGAATGTCACTTCGTTTTTGGTTTTATCTGTTTTAGAAATTTTTTTTTATGCTTAGGGACTTTTGGGAAATCTGCCTACAGATACCTTGGATTCCGCACTCCAAGGTTATGTGGGGTTGGTCCAATGAAACAAAAGGAAATATTAAAAAAATCGGACAAGTGCGAGTTTCACTCGCATTAAGATCGAGGGTTCCGTACACCAAAATAAAACTCATTGTTTATAAAAAAATTATTTCAAAAATTCTTACAAAATTTGAAAAAAATAATTAAAAAAATAGTAATATATTTTTTTAAATTTCGAATAAATATTTTTATTATTTTATTTTATTAATAAATCTTTATATTTTTTCTTTTATAGTACTTATCTTCGCCAAACGCATTCTCTTTATTTTTTCTATAATTTGCACTTGAAAAAGAATATACAAGCTGAATCTTAACTCACCAGGTTTAAAATTATAAAAGTTAAAGTAGGGACAGTATAATTTTTTCGAAAAATTCAAATTCTTGCCCTTCAATTTCGCAAATAACTCCGCCAATCGGGTTCGCTATATTTTTCCTGTAATCTGCACTTGAAACTAAAGATCCCTACCGAATTTCAGCTCATAAGGTTGAGATTTGCAAAAGTTAAGGGGGGACAGGGTCATTTTTAGCATTTTTTTCGAAAAAATTGAATTTCTTTCCCTCCTAGTTCGCAAATATGTCCGTCACAGTAAAAAGTAAATCTTAATTTAAGAGCTGCCTTAAATTCAACACTGTCTGCTATAATGTTAAATGATACGAAAAACGTGCGTAAATTCAACATTGACTGTCTTAAAAATGTTGCATCTTAATTTAAGGCAGCTTTCGTGCCTTAAAATAAGATTTTCTTTTTACTGTGGTCAATCGGGTTCGCTATATTTTTCCTGTAATCTGCACTTAAAACTGAAGATCCCTGCCGAATTTCAACTCACCAGGTTGAGATTTGTAAAAGTTAAGGGGGGGGGCAGGGTCATTTTTTGCAATTTTTTCAAAAAAATTAAATTTCTTTCCCTCCTAGTTCCCAAATATCTTCACCAATCAGGTTCGTTATATTTTTCCTGTAATCTGCACTTAAAACTGAAGATCCCTACCGAATTTCAGCTCATGAAGTTAAGATTTGTAAAAGTTAAAGGGGGGGACAGGGTAATTTTTTAAATTTTTTGTAAAAATTGATTTTCTTTCCCTCCTACTTCGCAAATATGTCCGTCAATCCGGATCGCTATATTTTTCCTGTAATCTGCACTTAAAACTGAAGATCCCTACCGAATTTCAGCTCACTAGGTTGAGATTTGTAAAAGTTAAGGGGGGGGACAGGGTCATTTTTAGCATTTTTTTCGAAAAAATTGAATTTCCTTCCCTCCTAGTTCGCAAATATGTTTTTCAATCGGGTTCGCTATATTTTTCCTGTAATCTGCACTTAAAACTGAAGATCCCTGCCGAATTTCAACTCACCAGGTTGAGATTTGTAGAAGTTAGGGGGGGGACAGCCCATTTTGCGTGGCTGGGACGGACACACGAGTGATTTCATAAGGGTTCCGTCAGTACACCTATGGTGTACGGAACCCTAAAAAGGTAAATAAATAAATGTTATAATAAATTTAATAAACTGGCGACCTACTACCAGCCCGACCCACTAAAACCCGTAACTCTTCTTCTGGAGCCCTTTACCCTCCCTCGGAACTGTTGTAAGATTTTAGCCTTCGAGGGTGGCGCTCCAACTCTGTCGCTAATGCGACCTTCTCCCTTTCTCTGCGGTCCTCCTGCGTCCGTAGTTAAAAAAAAATAATTAAAACTATTACAAAGTCCAAGCGGAATTCACAGCACAACAATAATAAAAAAAACAAATTTTTTAAGAAGTGTAAAAAGTCAAAAGATAAAATTGTAAACGGATATAAAAAAGAAAAGAAAAAAAAGTAAACACTTATATAATGTTGAAAAGATAAAACTGTATAAAGACGAATAAAAAACACAAAACAAATTTAAAATGTATAAGGACAAATAAATCACAAAATAAATTAATAAAAAACAAACAAATTAAAAGCTGTTTAAATCACGCTTTTTGGCGGCCGTCGAGATCCTTCCTTGACATAACCGAGGTTACGAAGTTCTCGACTCGCTCCTTTTAATACTTCTTATTTGCTTTTAGTTCTTGCGAGAGTCTTCTTCGCCTCCTCAAGGGCCGTCCTGAAGACTCCGCATCCTCCGCTGCCTGCAATATGGGTGGTTGACACCTTATTGCCAAACTTTTCCTTGCATAAAAAGCAACTTGGGCTCTTCTTACAGTTGGAGAACCTGTGACCGGTTTCACCGCACTTAAAGCACGCAGCCGATCTGTCTACCTTCTGGCATTTCGCTCCAATATGACCGTATCCCAAGCATCGATGACACCGGACGACCATTACTCTTTTTTCAATTGGGCAACACATAAAACCAATTTTTACGTGTCCCAATTTCTCCAACCTGTTCGCCTCTTCCGGGTTGGTGACTACAACCGCGAGCTTCATCCCTCGGCGGTTGGGTCCTAAGACCGTCACTTTCCTGCATCCTGGCTTTCCTATCGCTTCCGACAATACTTGTTGCACCTCGGCTTCTTGGGTAAGGCAATCCAACCCGAGTAAAAAAATAGTACGGCCTATGTATTTACTACGTAGTGTTTGTGTAGGATTAAAATAGGTCTCCTATGTAGGCCAACTTATGTACATT